GCAGGGCCACGGAAACGCTTTCGCACACTTCTGCGACCCTGCCATCGCTGGCCACCTTAGCAGCCCCTTCTCGAGGAGTAACGCACCTCTCCTTCAGGTAAGGCAAACAGGAATATTCAGTGCGCCTTCCTACTCGGCCCCTTTTTCAAGGCCATGGGAGCCAGGAGAGCCAGCGCCAATAAACAGCAAGCCTTCCAGCCCCCAGCGGTGGACCTGGTCTGTGGCTCCGCCACTCACTACGTTTCGGCTGCGGAAGGTAGCGAGCAGCGCATTGTAATACCGACATTACGGCTTCACCACCACTGCGGTACCGCCGAGTCGTGGAGGATAGGAAGAGCAGTCAAACATAACTCATCTTCCTCCGCGACACTCGTAGCAGAAGACAGGGAGCCCGGCTCCTCCTCTACCACCCTCTTTCTGTCCCCTGCACTCTCCAAGCACGCATCCAGAGTGGGCTCATTAAGCCCATTTGGATCGGCCCTCGCCTACATTAACCGAAGAGGAGGACCTAAACACGTTGACGCAAAGCACGTCATATGCGACCATAGCTAAAGCTACCTCTCCAACACCGTCACCAATTGCCTCAACCTCAGCGCAACCGCTACCGAAATTCAAGACACCACCAAAAAAGGCTACCTACTTATCGTGGTAGAAAACCTGCCCGATTGGGCGACACATTTCGCCGATATTAAGAGAAAACTTGGATACGCCCCTAACGCAAGAGCGCACGGGAAAAGAGTACGATTTCTCCCTCAATCGGGACTTGAATACTACGTAATACAGAGGTATTTGCGGAGGCTACCGAAAGAAACAGCGCCATCACGTGGCACTGCTACGCACCCGCAGAGGAGCTCATGCCAGGAGTCACCATAGAGGGCTGGAAACGCAGAACCGGCCCCTAGCAGTGGCACCGATGTCAACAGTTCGGACACGCATCATACAATTGCCAGAAGCCGATGCGAACGAACACTGCGTTCGCTGCGCAGGAAACCATATAGCCGCAAATTGCCCGGTGCCATTGACAAAGCCGGCCAAATGTGCAAATTAAGGCCAAAGACATCTCGCCAATGATTGGCGCTGCCCCGCCTTTATAAGGGAGGCGAGAAAAAGCGGCATAAGATTGAACCCGCCGCGCGTAAATACCGAGAAATACTAATGACGGATGGACTACAATCGGTGAACGATGCCGGAGGGCCCAAGGTGGGGAAACTGTTCTCTCCCAACCTCAGACTTCCCCCCTCAGTCAAACGTAGAGCGGACAAACACCACTGAAACCGCATTACAACACCCCCTCGGGGAACGAACCACTCGGAGGGATATTACTAGCGACCAAACGCCGGCCGCGACCCATTCTGCCTCCGCGGCCGCCACAGCAAGACCGCTATCATGCGCACCATAACCTCTATGTTCGGCAATCACTATGTCCAACATTGCGGCATATCTTCATCGGTGCGTTATTTTTGGGACGCACGTATCACGTCGCGCCTTTAGGCGTCAACCACCGGGTGTCCAGAGCGGCCCCCGCGAAGAAACCCGGGTCATGAGATACCTTTATGAGGCAATGTAGAAGATCTCACGGACGGCCGGACAAAGCGAAACCCCGGTCGCAGGGGAACGTAGGATATGTCAACGACGTTGCCAGCCTTTGAGGTAGGAGTAGGCTTTCTTCTCGAAGGTTCGTAAGTCTTATAGATTCCGAAATACCACTGGCGACAACTGGTTCCATAAAGTAGCTACTGATGCGGAACAGAAAATTGCATGTAAAAAAACGGCGGTGGACCGCCAACCACCAAGGTCGTGACGATGGTTAATCGTATTTGACGAGTTGTACGTTGTACTTAAGCTTCCCTAGAACTATAAAAGCGCAATTCTCACCTACTTTACACAGTGAAACAACAGTCCTTAAATGAAAAGAGTGTGCAGTATTCAAGCTTATTATTTTAGAATATCAATGTAAGCGTTGAAAAGATAAATAATGCTTGATTTTTTATACAAACATCTTTGTTGTAGTATTTTAATGATTGAGGCAAACATGCACTTCTGATAGCCGAATAATTTTTATCTGTATAAAGGTGGTGGATTACATTCGTAATTTATTACGTACATAGCTGGTGTAGTGTAACACATTAAGCTACACGTACAAACTCTGGCACTGTTATTAAACCACTGACAGCATGTAATCCCGGAACACAATATTTGCCGCAATATTTACGAAGTGCTCGACGTTCGGCACGTTCTGTATCCGGTCGCTGACCGCTGTGGGCTCACCATGTATGGGTACTTACCCCGAACTGACAAGGCGTGATTCTGACGGTAAAAGCATTTAATAATTCTATGAAATTGTATAAGCTTGGCGACTTCGTACATCCCTTTCTATACTCAGTTCATTATGGGTATGGAATCTCAGATTAGTATTTTCAATATTTTTTTCAATCAAGTAATAAGAAATAGTAATAATTACTATCTGTCATTAAATTCTGATACAATGTAGGAAATACAAAAGTTTTCGAAGAAAATTTTGATGTATTCCTCAATTTTTATATTTCATTTTCTGGAATTCTCACTGACCTGAATGCTGCCAAGAATTCGAAAGCCAGGATTTTTAAAATTAAAAACTTACATACACTAAAAATATTTCACTTGAAAATTAGTGCTATAATTACTTTTTCAAACAACATAAATTAGATAATTCTAATAAAAAAAGAAGAGTGTAAATACATTTCATTGATATATATGTATATCTTTTGGTAAATATGTATATATATAGATGCAAGTACATACATCGAATGTAGCCACCAAAGGAATGACCGTATTCATTGATCTTTATTAACTCAAGTATTTCTTATTCAGTATCATTTAAGGTCTCGAAGAATACGACACCTCCCGTTACGTTGGTTAGTACAACTATATTTGTTTCACTTTTCTTATTCAATTTTTTATTTATTTTATTATTTATTTAAAATTTTATTGTTTACACTCCAACATAGGGCCAAACAAAATGCAAACTTAATACTAATAAGCATTCGCTTCCATTGAACCCCGGGAGCAGTGAAAATTTGACGTAGGTGCAAAAAATCCTAAATTCAATTTCAAAAGTGAAAAAGCACATAAAACCTACATTTTATATAAACATACTAAACGCAAACTTGAATACTATAAACTATTAAACACACACACACGCACACACACACACACACACACACACACATATACACACACACACACACACACACATACATATATATACACACATATATATATATATATAAATATATACATAGACACTATATAAAATAAATATGTATATACAGAAATTTATATAAATTACCTTTTATCTTTGAGTATTTACAACTTACACGAATTATCCAGTATTATAATATTTATATATATATAATATAAATATTCTAACGGTTAATTTCTATCATGGATCCGCATTATTGGTTTGCAGTCATTAATAAAAAGTTAGAACACGTTTGAAATGAACAGATCTTTTTATATTATTCTTTTCAATAAACAAGTAATAACTTGCTATGAGTAATTAACATGTTGTTTATGGGCTGTAAATATTAATTATTTTATATGGTCTATCTTCAAAATATGTTTCGTCTAATCCAGCGAAGTTGTGTTTCTTATGAAGAATACATTTAGATACATACAAATATATCTAATTATTTCTCAGTAGTTATATGTATAACACGGATAAACATGCATGTAATATTCCATTAATATGATAGTATAAATTCTGTAAAGCGAAACTTAAGGGATCCAAAATTTTTTTCGTTATAACGTTGTTTTGTGATTGAAAGTTTAGAATGAAAAATAACAAAGAAACAAAAACAACTTCATTAATTATTTATTAATATTTGTTCCAATATGTGATTAAAGTATTCTAATTGTATGCTGTCCATGAACTTAGTCTGACGTTTTTGTGAAGTTAGTATTTATTTGTATTTTTTTATTGTGATGTATAATCGTTTTCATTAAACAGTAAGAATGTTCTATTTTGTAGTTTCGATTTATTATCATTCGTGCTCGTCGAACAAGTTATTGGTGGTATAGACTCGTTAACTTGACTGATTGCACGAATCTAAACCCCCAATCTTTTTATTCTTTCTTTACTTTTCGACACTGAATCAAGAATGGTTTAGTCGGGAACTTTTAATCAATGATTTTGTACCGATAATACCTGCAATTACTAAGTATTAACTTACAGTCATCTACTTATTTATGGACATATAACTTCATAATAGAAAATAGGATTTATAAACTGCGCTACAAAATATTTATTACTAGGTCTTAAGGTTAACCAACCAAATGGAGCTAATTTCTATTTATAATTAACGAATCAAATTTTACAATAAATAAGGGTGTTAAAAATACATCCAAATTATGGAATTTCTTAATAAAATTTTACGGCGTTTTATCGATCAAGCAAATTCTTACTACACAGTTAAACCCGCGATCTGATTAAATTTAAATCAAAATACTTTCAATAAGCACCAAAAGATAAACTTTATGGTTTTCACTCCTATTCTTAACGATTTTTTCTCAAGTTCTTACTAAGATAAAAGTTAAAATAATTAAAGCATCAATTAATTTCAAATTAGTCACATATGATACCTAATATGGATTATGTTTAAACGATAAATTATAGATACATCAAATACCGACGGTAAGTACAGGATCGCATTTGAAACTAACAAAGTTTCATTCGACTATAAAACTTATTGAATTTATAGCAATAACATTGTTTTAAATTATCTATTTATACAAATGCTTGCGACCGTATTTATCATTCCTCTTATTAACCACAAGGCGTGCACTTCTTGTGTTTGATAGTGATAATTTCTGACCTATGTATCCTGTTATTTAATTTTTTTCCGTAATGTATTTTATTGGAATTGATACAACGTTTCCGTCATAAGGTTGGCAGATAAATTACAGATCCAGACGTTAGCTGTGTATGTCGCAAGTGCACAAGAATTGTCCTCAAGAGCACAATGAGAACATACGAAGTACTTTTGTTACTAGTTTTAGCTGCAAGTGCACTTTCTGACGGAGGTATGGGATTTGAGATTATTCAATGTTACATTTTTAATGTAATTTTAGAATGATTTTTTTTATTTCATAATCTTTCATTGTATGCTTTTTACAAGATGTTTTATGTATATAAACTGATTTAATTTTCATTAAATTAATTAGAAATTAATATTACAAAGTCATTATTTGCTGAATGAAGTGAATTGCTGAATTATCTATTGTCTCTTGGTAGTACGATTAAGCATTCCTTTCAAGTAACTTTGATTTTTTTAAAGAAAAAGACAAAGAGAAGCATCTCTATATTTATCACAAAACCTTAATATTTATTTCTCCAAAATACTTTTTTGACTAAGCCGAATAAAATTTATAAATCTTAAATAATTTCGAAGTCTGGAATGAACTACAGTTTATTTAATAGTTACCTTTTAACAGAATCGCTATTAAGATCATGCAAGATAAAAGACATCGAATGCTTAAGCAAATCAACGGAGCAATTTTTGGAAAAAACTTGTAGAGGTATTCCAGAAACTGATATAAAAGCCATTGACCCTCTAGTGATACCAAATTTAGACCAAGCACTAAGTGAAGATGGTGCTATATTGCTACACTTTAAAAACTTAAACATTACAGGATTGAAAAACCAGAAAATATCCGACTTTCAGTAAGCTTCTAATATATTGTTTCTTTTTTTTTTATTTATATCGCAATTGAAATATTTCTTTATTCTTATAGGATGGACAAAGCTACAAAATCTGTGATACTAAAATTAAATGTTGATTTAAATATAGTTGCTGACCTAACAATAGAAGAAACTAAAACATCAAAATACTTCAACGGCGTATACACAGCTAAGTCAAGTAAGAAAATATTTTTTTATTAGTTGCATAATATATTTTCTTTTCTTTTACCATGTAGTTGTATGTAATATACCGCTTTCATTAAATTCTCCCTCTAGGGCAGCAACATGGTATCCGTACGAAACTAAATCCATAAAGTTTTAAGACGTTGTCATCACTATTAATACTTCATACTTTCGGGTAATTTATGGCCACTGATCACTGTTAGAAATATTTTTCTTGCTGACCAGTTCAAATGAAAAGCTGCTAAAATACTTAAATAGCCGATAATAAAATTAAAAGTTCGTTTTTTATGCGAAAAACACTTTATTTCTGGGTTTGTAATTAATTTGAATTATATGTATAAAATTAACGTATTTTAACAAAAAAACCTTCTGGGCTAATGAGAATTTAACTTTACCTTTTAACTTTTAAACCCTTTCGTTTAATTTTAAATAATCAAATTTCTATTCTTCTGGGAGTTCGCAATTTAACTGAATAAAGAATGGCTCTATGTGAATATTTAGAAGAATCTTACAACTTTGTGTAGTACGTAAACCGTAACCGCGATGTTAGAATATTATATCAAGATTTCATCTCAAAAAGTGCTACGCAAAACCCTCGTTGAGAAAAATTTAAATATTCATTATTGTGGGTTGAATATCATTTTCCTTTTATGTACTCATATTCTTAATCATAAATTACGAATTTTAATTTTTTTATAGTGTCTTTGCGCTTACACATGAATTTTATTCGTTATTTTAGACTTTGATGTAACTTATGCGCAAAATATTTTTTAAATAATTACCTAAATTGTAATAAACAAGTATAAATTTACTTTCCAAATCATTAACAGCTACATTAGCAACGGCAAATTATAACTACGACTTAAAGACAAATGAAAATGGAGTTCGACACTTTGAAGTTCTTCCAGAAACCATAACATGTAAACTAATAGGCAAGCCCGAAATCGCCTTCAGTGATGATCTTATTCAAGAATTACGTAAAGGTAAAAAATGAGATATTCGTTGATTTACGATTAGTGTGATACGTTATATATAAATTTAAAAACTTTGCAGGTGGAAATGTGAACGAATGGCAACAGAAATTCGAAAATAAACAAGCTGAGTTAGATGAAAAGACAATTTGTAAGATAGTTGAAAAAGCATACGTGACAGTCGTCCACAATATAAGGGCAGCAGCAAAAATGTTACCCGCTGAAGATTTCTTCCAAGATATATAAGTCTTTTAAGTTTATATAGTAATGACACTTTAATTTCACGTTTTATTTCGAGTTCAATTATTGGATTGTACTAAAATATTATAAATAAAGCAAACATATCAACAGCTTTGTTTCGTCGCAGTCACCATATAAACAAAACTATTAACATAGATTAGATACGCGAGCTAACGGTTAATGTAATGTTTATATAATAAACATTATCTCTCTTTCTCTGTTTAATAAGTTTTATAACCTATGGTTTAAGTGACCCGTCTATTAAAATAATGTTAATAATCGCACCTTTTCATTATTTAAGTTTATTATGGATTAGTTGTTGCTAACTACGCCTTGAAGACACTATTTTTTTTTAAAGGGTACTTAATAGAATTATAAAAAAAATTGTTACATGAAAATACAGCATTATAAAAGCTATATCATATTAATGTCGGTATAAGTCTAATTACATGTTACGATTGGGAATGAAGAAGTAGAAAAGTATAAGGAGTAAAGTAGAAAAGTATAAGCCTTATAAATTTAGCCTTCTCTTACAATTAAAAGACGTAAGATATCACTTGAGTGTAGTTAGGTTTTTTTTTTTAATAATGGACAACCTAATAATGAAAACATTGAAATTTAATACATTATTGGATAAGAAAGTATCTAAACTAGCGGACATGAAGATCGTACATCTTTCATTTCTTTCTTTAATTGATAAAAAATATTATTTTTTATTAATCAAACATTTAAATCTCACTTACTATAATTATACGCATAATGGAACACTACCATGGGATACCACCTACATTTTGCATGAATGTGACCCAGTCTTGTAACAGTAAAGGCTACATAATTTACTCGGCCGGGGAAGCATCATGGTCCGAACAACAGCATTACTTCGTAATTTTTATACTTTTCTACTTCGTCTGGTGAATGACGAAACCGGATCTCGCCTTTTTAGAAGTTGGTACTGCAACTGCTACCTACAGGGGGATATCCATCGTCCACGGCTTTTGGAGAACGCTAAGTGAACCATCAGCTAGATTTCCACCCTCGTTGATAAAAAAATTATTGACTGGTGACTCGTTTACTGATAATTAGATTTAACAATTAGTCATGAAGTTCTGATAACGGTGACTTACACAGACACATCGCGTACACAAAGTTCACCCGCGTTCGAAGTCAGTTCCCACTGCCCCCAGCTACCAATTTGTACAGTCAACGGCCATTGGGGTCACGGCCAAGTCAAGCGCGGCCCTACCGATCGCGAGAGGCCGTTTCAAACTCATGGGATCTCGCTATCTCACGAGTCCTCCGTTCGATAAAGCTTTAATAGTCTACGGAATGAAAGCAAGAACATCAATCACAGTAAACATCTTGATAAATGAATCATCTGATAAAATTTGTAAGAAAATCGAGAATAAATATATAATAATAAATATTTAGGACACATTTTTACACAACATTTTCTAGTCCCAAACTAAGCGACGCTTGTACTATGAGTACTAGAAAACTGTTAAACATACTTAAACGTACTTTTCTTTTGTAAAATAAATGCATATTATACATATATAAACATCGAGACACTAGAAAATACTATGTTCATCACACAATATTTTCACAATATTTTTCCAGTAGTGGGGATCGAACCCACACACTCTAGCGCAGGAGGCAGGTTAACTACCCACTACGCCATTCGGGTCGTCCAAGAATACATCCAAAGAATTTTATTATTACTTTCCAAATAATAGATACCTAAAGTATGATTTCCTATAACAATAATAACATTTCCCAGTTTGATCTTAATATGAAGGATTATTTGCACAATATAAAGAAAAGCCAGCTATTTTTGAAGAGAAACCCAAGACGCGGCTAGCTATAATTTACATTTATTATTTTGAATATTAAATTATGTTTTCAAATAAAAGCGGAAACTGTTTTGGGTAATAAGCCTCGCACAAAGTATAGCTTTACCATCCTGTAGTGCAAAAAAGGAAAATTTATTAAATATTAAATTTGTAGAGAAAATCGAAAAGTTTTTTGTCGGAAATCGAACCCACATCTTCCGAATACGCGCCCAGACGCTTTAACCAGTATGCTAAACGGCTGATTGCCACACGGACGAAAATCTCAACGCCTTTTATCAACACTGTTTTTTTTGCATTTTAAGCAATTCTTACCAACAAGAGATGTAATAATCCCTATATGATTGTTTTTATAGTGCTATTAAAATTTGTAGAAAAATTGGAAAAAAAATAATTAAGTTGTATCCGGAAGCCGTGGGTTCGATTCCCGCAGCGGCGAAAAACTTTCCGTTACTTTTTTCTACAAATAATGCTTTATCTTAAGTGCAGAAATTAGCACTATAAAAAAAAAGAAACTATATATTAATGATTACATTTAGGATGCTTTAATGCATGCCTCAAAGGGATTTTTGCATAAAGTTTAATTTTTAAATTATTTCAAAACTCGCGTTAAGCTGTATGAATTTGCTTTGCCAAAACCAACCATTGTTTCCGAACACCACACAGGTTTAACTTGAAACGCATTTGCATAATAAAGTCATCAAGTCCTATACATAAATCTTTGCGAGTGATATGTATTTTTGCGTAAAGTCAATGAACCCGAGCGGGAATTAAAGAGGTGATTTCTTAAAGATGCCCATTTATTATGGTGTTGGGATTGAACGTTGATAAAGCGTTTCGTTGTCTTATTCGCTACCTTTTTGTTTTCTTAAAACTCGTGACCGGGCGTTCAAAAGGGAAATTTAATATTCCGTTATATCACATTAATTATAAAACGCTTTATTATATAACCTTATCTGAGGTTAACTTAACCTGATTATAAACCAAATGATAGAAGTATTTGTTCCACAATTACTTTTATCAATTGTCGAAGCCCTTCCTTTTATAACTAAAAGACAAAATGGGACCAGTGAGTCATGCACAACTTATTTATAAGCTCGGCATTAATGACTACTTAAAACTTTTTTTTAATTTGACAGATCGTGGGCGAAGAGATACCACACTTGCGGTACTCTTAAGAACCTTGTTCAAGATGAAGGTCTGCTCAAACATTTTCTTAACGAACAAACAGGTCGCATTTTTTAACATACCATGTTGGTCACGTTCAAAGGCGCACCGTGTTATGTTTAAACATATTTGGGGCCCACAAGTCTTATTATAAAAACCAAAAATAACAGTGTCGAGTGAAGTCTAATTCATTTTTAATACCAGTATTAAACTAGAAGAGTGCGTACTCAGTTTCTGCGTGTCAAAATCAAAATGATGTTAACCATCAGGTCTTGGTTCTCCATGGTTAATAGAACGACAAAAACACCCCATTCAAAAATTTAACGACACCAAGAACACTCTCAAGATGATTGATAGGTACTAGAATATGAAGATACCAAAATAACGAAAATTAATAATGAATATAAAATATTTTTACTGTTTTACAAATAAACTCAATTTTAAATAAATCATACATCTAGTATTGCAATTTGTTAAAATGCTCATTTTTATAGAAATTTACACAAATACCACGATGCCAATCAAAATCTCACGTACCATGCATTTATTAGAATCCATTACGCCCAGACGTTATTTGTTTTGTATTATCATCGAAACAAAATTTACTTTACATTAGTAAGGTATGATAATTTTGTACCTTAGTGAAAATCTTATTTGGAACCCTTCCCTTTGCTGTAAAGCAAATTCTAATGGCCCTTTTAGCTTCAGCCGATAATGCTGACAGTTTTTATAATTGATTTACCTGAAGATTTATCAAAGCATGAGTAAAAACTTTCAACCTTTTTAATTTTTCTAACTAATCTTAATCATGTTATTATAATAAATGCGAAAGTTCACACTAAAAACTAAATTATAATATTGAAATGAAATTAGAAATTGATATAGGTATATGTTTTTTGTATAAATTTCTGAGCCTTAACTTTTTATTAACTTTCAGCCGCAAGAAAGTCGTCTCAAAAAAGATAGGTATATTGAGAATTTAGTTTTTAATTATAATTTACGATGCGTTCACTGCTAAATTCGAACAGTTAAATCCGATACATTGATTTCTTCATATAAAAAAACATCAAGCATTGAAAAAGCCTTTTAGCATCCATTACATCACAGGACTATTGTTCCTCCGGTTGCATAGTGCATCAGTTTCGTTTTTATGGTACCGAACGTAGAGCGTAATGCATTTCACAAATAGACGTTACTTTGAGTGCCATTACCGTTCCACTACGCTATCGACTACCGTGAATTATTATTTCAAAAATCAAAAATATATTTATTCACATAGACGCTTGCGCGTTCTTATGAAATTGTGAAAATTTTACATAAAAATTAATACGTTCATAAGTTACCACCGGTTCAGAGAGCAGTTTCTGTTGAAAAGAAATCGGAAAGACAATCAACAGTTGCTCTTTTTAAAACGATTAGTTTACAATATAATACAAGAGGTATGTCTTATATATGCATATATTTATATTTACCGTTAACATGAAAAACAATAAACGAATACAGCCTTGAGAACATTGCATGTTTTGATTACCCCTTATTGATCGATGTAGGTGAGGTTAAGTGATAAAAAACCGGCCAAGTGCAAGTTGGACTCGCGCACGAAAGGTTCCGTACCATTATCTATAAAAACGGCATAAAGATCATGTCTGTTGTATGGGAGCCCCACTTAAATCTTTTTTATTGTTTTTTAGTAATTGTTATTATACCGGCAACATAAATACATCATCAGTGAAAATTTAAACTGTCTAACCATCACGTTTCATGAGATACAGCCTGGTGACAAACGGACAGCGGAGTCTTAGTGACAGGCGTCTTTTTATCTTTTGGGAACGGAACCTTGTAAATTACTGTCATAATTTTTTCCAATCGCCCAAAAGAAATTACTGTTTGGCTTTGTAAATCCGGTGTATCATGGTTTTTTCAGTTTTATTTTAGTTCATTCCGAGCAAAAAAAACGTGAAATTTTAAATAAAAATATAACATGAAATATTTTTATTTAATTAAAGAAAAATATCACTAATTATAATTATTATCTTTCATTCATTAACGAAATTGTCAGATACGTCTAATAAAATAGTTAGTCTGATTACCCAATATAAACATTTTAATATTGTTATAGGTTTTTTTGTGCTTTATTTTTTCTTTTGTTTGTTTGTTTTTTTGTATATTCTTTATTGTACTAGAAGTTTATACAAAGGCGAACTTAATGCTATTTTTTTTTTGGGCGAAAAGGATGGCCGCGCTTTTGGCGGGATTGATCTCGATCCTCCATTGCCGAAACCAGTCACCGATGGTGATGGCCGCAGCTTGGAGCCGTCGATGGATCAATTCGGGTGTTCTGCCTGTGGTATAGATACAGGTGTCGTCGGCAAAAAGAGCAAGTTCTACATCTTTGACACGCGGCATGTCATTGGTGTAGAGAGTGAACAAGACTGCCCAGTCTTGTTCACTCTCTACACCAATGACAACACCGACCCTTGGGGTACCCCGGCTCGAACAGGATGCGTAGTCGAACACACGTAATGCTAAATAGCATTTTCTTCCAGTTAACCTTTTGTGGTTGAGTACAAGTTACGGGTTCTTTTGAGTTTCTTTTGCTAATATTTTAGTTAATTCGTCTTTACATCTGCAGGCTAGGACCATTATTGACGGCTTTTGCAATTTCACGAGTTCCTGGAATGCCTATGTATGTAAGTGACGTATAGATGTGCCAAATTATTTGGAATTGGAGTGATATATTATTTTGTTTATATTCAGTGTAAATCTCGTAGAGTCATTTAATTTAAATATAAAATTACGATTATAAATTATTTATAGCACATTCATTTATCACGCTATCTAAACAACTTAAATGAATAAAACGAATACTTAACACATTATTAATTTTGTTTAGATAGCGTTGTTATTCGGTTTGTCTTGGATATAATATTCCAGAAAATTCCTACTTAATAACTTCACCACTAGCACTTGGCCAGTTTTTTTTTTATATAATACAGAAAACCGTTATTGATCTATTTTATTATTTTATAATAAAACTTTATGATACAAGGAAGTGAGAAAACAGTGCGACTGAAAATTTTAAAATACGAAGCATAAAATGTTTCGTGCTTATCGTAAGTCACAAGATAGAGGTTATCATTGTAATATATTGCAACTCTTACCAGTGGAAGAAAAATAATTAAGGAAACGTTAAATTATCAGAGTGCCGTATGTACAAACGGGGCAGAGAATTTTAATTAAAAGTAAATATTGCTAAGTACGGGTATATTGACAATTCTCTCTTTAACACCGTCATGATATTTCAATTTATGAATCTTATTTATATTTTTTATGCTATAACCATTAATACTCAATTTCTTTCCGATTTTAGATGTCATTGTCGTTTTCTAATATATGTTATGTAACTTCTATTGACGTTATTGAGTAAGGTGTAGTGGCTTTAATTGTAAAATAAAATATTTTCACGAATTTTATTCCTTTTAATTTTTTCTTTAATTATAAACTTGTTAACTAAAACAAGTTTGTAAAGAATTTTTTTACAGTTATACTTGTCAATTATTCAATAAAACTTGAGTGGCAAAAGTGGTTATGATAATAAATTTAATTAAATTATCACATAAAATCTTGCTTTAATCGGGCAGCAAAAAAAAATATTTAATTTATGTTAGTTGTAGAAATCGATTCTACTATACGTCTCTAGTAATGGCCGAAAGAAATTTATAATTGGTGCTTTGCAATCTGATGAGTTATACGTTAACATCGACCCGAGATTTTTTGTTTAATGGCGATTTTTTTATCTGTAGAGCTAATCATAATTTCAATTTATATTATTCAACTAAGAAAACTAATATTTCGTTTACTTGAAACCCACACATACCTAACCACAGTAAAGTTTTGTATACTTAAAAAAGCACTATCTTAACCGCTCTCCTTAACAACATGAACCTGACATACTTAGTGCAAAAAAGATAACTAGAATTCATGTACTACTTTATTAAAAGTATTTATATATTAAAATTTGTATAAAAAGCACGAAAAGATTATCGCCACTGTGGGAATCGCACCCACCTCTTCGGCATTCGTGGCCTGACGCTTTAGCCACTAAGCTAAACGGCTGATTGGCACACTAACGAAAATGTTAACGTCTTTTATCTACATTGTTTTTAGCATTTGAAGCAATGCCTGGCGCATCCATTGTTATATCCTTTCCAGCATACAAACAATTTGGAATATCGTTTTACAACGATAATTCGAACGAGAGATGTCGTCATTGCTTTTTAGAAATTTAAATCGCCGCTGGGGGAATCGAACCCACGTCTTCGGCATTCGCGGTGACGTGGGTTCGATTCCCACAGTGGCAATAATCCTTTCGTGCTTTTTCAACAAATTTTAATGTTCAATCTGAAGTGCAGATATTAGCACTATAAAAAAAATAATTTCTTAAAAGCAATGGCGTATTAATATTTTTTTTTCAATAGAGCTCTGTTAATTCTCATGTATTAGGCAAGTTTACTTACGACAGAACTTTGCAAATAAATGACTTTAAAATAAGCTGGGAGGTACCTTGCTGAACTCATGTAACATAACTACAATAATTCAGTAACAGTATACACGTTTAAGAAATATGAACGGTAGTAAAGGAAAAATATCACATGTAAAAACCTTTGTAAACATCAGCGCTGGGATTACTTCCGGGCCCTTCTGTGATCATAAAGCAATCTATTTCTCCGTAATTCATATTTGATCGCTGCGAGCCGTGTACACTAAGCCATTTCGACCGGGAACTTGCAAAATCTAATTTAACCTCGACGAGTGATTTAGGGAATAGTAACTCTTATGTCGCTCTCTTCACAAAATATATGAAATTTGGTAATATTGATTTTTGTAAAGTATGACACGACTGTTTTTATTGAACTATTTTTATTCAAATGTGCGTCAGATACTTTTTATCGTCAGTTCAATTTTCTTCTTTATAGAAAACTCTTTATATTGACCATTACAATATATTAATTCATACGCGTTAAGTTGTACCTTAAAGTAACTGAAAAGAAGAAAATAAATAAAAGTGAGCCCCAAATCTCGTTATAATTTATGGACCGGTGGTTTTTCTAAAGGTTATTTATTAATAAGACAGACTGCCATAAAAAAGTTTTTTTTCTTAAACGTATTTCTATACCGGCAGAAGAGATTCGACTTAAGCTCCGACCTTATTATTGCACATCAATGAGTTTCTTAAATTGTTCATTGAGGACGAAGATAACATCATAAAGGTGAGGGCCACATATGACCATTGTTGAGAACAAGCCCAAAAATTCTTACTTTTTAATATTTAACGAAAATTTCGATACATTATAAGTAATTTAAGTTTTTATTTAATCAACATCATAATCAATTCAACTCAAATAGCTGTACTTACAATATTAAATTATTGTTATATCTTTTATTTATTATATTATCCTCTATGTGCCAATATGCGGGCATTCGATGGATGCATGTGGCTTAGGTTTTTGCTTCGTGGCAGCCTGTGGACGAGGTCTATGCCCAGCAGTGGACTCTAACAGACTTAAATGATACCGATGATGATGATGGTAATGTTTAATAAACCCATTGTTTGGTAACACTATTTGATATTCGATTAATCGTATAAAATAAGGCAACGTAGAAATACGACAATGTGCAAACCAATAACTCTAATAACTTAATTGTAGAATACTGCAAAAAAGAACAATAGATGTATTTATTATACGGTTCATGTCATCTAACAAGTTATTCTGGTCTTTAGCTTGCATTGTATCACTACAAACGAGACGCAATTAAACGATAAATTCAAAAGATTTTAACTGGTTACGCGTGTAAAATGACATGTAATAGATAGAACTGCATTCAATATAGGGTCTTATAACTTAGAGAGTAAAATGAAAATTTGTTTGACGTTAATCAGAAATTATCGTTTTTGAAAAAAACGCTGGAGCTTAGTACGTATATAAACGCCAGGACCTTATTCTTAAGCGCTTATTTCAGTTATGATGATACTAAATTACGTATATTTCGTAGCTTCTTTGCTGAGCGTTCTATACGGAATCCAACTGAGTGATGGGCAGTTAATATATCAAAACTTTTATGATCTAGGTAAGTACATCTACAGCACAAGTAAAAATTCCCAAAAAAAATAAATTTTGGTACTTAAGGTACTGTTCGTGAAAATCTAAATTTTCCCGTATCTTATATTTCTACCTTATTTTATTTATTTGCTCGTATCTGGTATAAATTTCAACTTGATAGATCAACTCGTTCATGAGAAAACCGGTAGCGAGTATTTTTTATTACCAATTTTATTATGATTATGTAGATACGGAACCCTCGGTGTACGAGTTCGACTCGCTCTTGACCGTTCTTTTTTGTTGATTTAATGTATAAGCTATAATGTTCTATTTCATACTCCACCGTCAGCACAATTTTCGTATAAACAGGTACAAAGTTTTTGTTCACGTATTAATATATATTTATATATTAAGTTATGTTATTTAATTTAGAACAAAACGGTTATTTGGAAGAAGTTGCTTTCAGAGTGATAAGACCACCTATAGTAGGTACATACATTTTACACTATTTTATACTATGTACATCATCATGCTGTTGGTTTTCAATGATTGAATGTGGGATTGGAAATCATAAGACGTAAAAAATGGATACTCGTCTAAAGATAATACAATTTTGCTTTATGTAAATGTAAATGTGGATAAATTGTCGAATTATTATAATAACTGTTATAAAACTTATTTGCGGATTTAACCACTTTATTTTTGACACCGCTATGCTATACAGCATTCGTGGTAATGCACTGGACTGAGATGTCAGGCATCCTGCTGGTGTCATTCTTACTTTCGCGTTTCGTCCGCTGAGTAAACTAGTCCACTAATCTGCAAGCCGTCTGCTTTGATTTGTCTGTTATTCTTTGACATTAGTTGCGTTTAAATTTCATAGATTATGTTTTAATTTCAGTGCGGACTAAAATTAACTATAAAATTGTACATTGTAGTGAATGTATGTTTAAATATATAATTTATTTTTCTTAATTATCTAATACTGTTCTTCTTGCGCGTTCTTCTATCGGAAAAATATATAGAAGCACACGTTCTCAATCTGCACGCCGTTACCATATTGTGGAAATAAATTTAGGAGACATGATTTAGTTCATAATATTATTCAAGGAGCGCAGTTATTTTCAATGCCACAATATTTTATACGACATATCATTTTTTTCGATGCTTATTTGGTGGCGATTTCAGTTATTTCAATTACATCATCATTACAGGTTATATGTTTAATATTTGATATATTGTGCCATAATCATAGAAGTCTCCTGGGGTAATTAATCCACTATTCGTGGCTTTAGCTTATAGTGCAGGGTTCTAGACGTACGACAGAAATTTCAATACTGATCCATACTTAATATTATAAATGCGAAAGAACAAATTAAAATGAAATTTGGTACACAAGTAGTGTAGAGAAAGGACATCTATTTTTTAATTGGAAAAAGGGTTCTTAAAGGGGATAGATATTTATTTAACGGCTTCAACGCGAACGAAGCCGCGGGCGAAAAGCAAGTAATAAGAATAAATTTAGGAAAGTGGATATTTAATACATATATTATTAAGACAATTAATAAATACGTTGCCGTATTTTGGAAATTTTGCTTTGAAAAATTCATTTTAGTATAAAATATATGCAAATGGCTTCTTTGAGCTTTTCCTTTAATATCTTAAATATTCGAAATCTTTAAATTTTTTAAGTTATTATTATATTAATAAAATTCATTCTCAATCAAATTCTCGATCATAAAAGTAAAGTAAGTTAACATGTGTATACGTGCTTCCAAAAGCATACTTTGACCTTGAACTAACTTCTTGTACCACTTGTATTATAAAAAAAAAATTTCCATCGCTAGATTAGAGATAGATAAAATATTTATATTAAGTACATATTCTATAAAAAGGGTGTAGTTTTATATTTTTCACACCTATTTGTTGTTGTATCGACTGACAATACATTTCATGCAATGTGTTAACAATAATACGCAAATGAAATTCCTCTCTGAATGATAAAAAGAAAAGTTTATTTAAATCGTCTTACGCACTCGTTACATATAGAAATCTAAGTTGTAATCTACGGTGTAGAGTATCATGAGAATCAATAATGTGAATTTTATTAAGAGGTCGTCTCGTACTAAAATTCACATTATTGATTATTCTAATTAAAACGACTACTTCGACGAATCGTATAGTTATGCCTTTTTGTTATAATACATGTATATATAATACATTTTATATACACATATCTTTGTTATAATTGTCGCATTGTTCTACAATTGCACGCACCATCTTTGTTATAGCTGTATGTTCGTTTCTGTTATGTCATTAATTTTTTTTAATATAATTAACCATTTTCGGCACAAGTCCACATATCTATTGAAAACATTGCGCTTAGTTACACTCGGTCTTACGTGACATTTATAGACTTTAAAACATATTTAATCATTTTGGTGTACAATGCTAAAAAAATATTAAAAATTTTTAAAAACTTCACACTAATGAAAAAAAGCTTTAAAGTGACGTATGAATTTTAATAACATCAAACAATTTTAATCGTCATATAGTCACGATTAAAATTGTTTGATGTTATTCTTATTGTATTCTTTTCTCGATAAAATAGACCACTGTTATGATCAGTCTCGATATTAATAAAATCAAACAGCCAGGAGCCTTTTTATCAACTTCTGTGTATCGATAGGGGAAAACAATAAATTCAACCGGTTTGTCCGCCAAACTAGCTTCTATAAAACATCTTTGCAAATTGTCCGAAAAAATCATATTTAATCGGGTAAAGTTAAAAATCTTCTATTTTTCTGATAGATATTTAAAGTTGCCATATTCACGGTGGTAAGAACATCATAACATCCTCAGGATTCTTATAAATCAGCCTGATACTAAATATTAAATTTTAAGCGCACTAAAATAGTATAGTGGTTTTGTGTGATAGAAATATTATAAGAGAGAGAGATGTAAAGGTTTTATTTTAAGTTACCAATTTCAAAAATTTATTCAAATTGGCTAAATTAGGTTGCCGTTAAACAATACGATTCTTACGACAAAGTCATCAAAATTTATTTTAATTATCAAAATGTTCCTGTTTCAATTATTCTTGATACAAAATCTAATGAAAAAACTCGAAAAAGAGCAAGAGAAACACCTGAGTAATTGTTGCAAAAAAGACAGAAGTAGATATTTATGTACATACGTACGACAAAACATTGCCTATGCATGGATGGCTATGTTACAATTTATTCTCTACAAGCGACCCGCCCCGGCTTCGCACGGGTACAGTGTAATATACATTTATAAATCTTCCTCTTGAATATCTCTAACGAAACTCTATCTAGTAAAAAAATGCTTCTTGTCTTAAAGATCTAAGCATACATAGGGACAGACAGACAGCGGGACGACTTTGTTTTATACTATGTAGTGGTATCATGAAATGTTCAATGCTCACCAAAAAAAAAATACAAATTTTCTGAATACAAACAACTAACTTTCAAAATATTCCGGACTTAAATGGATGTTTGGTGACAGCACTGACATCCTACACTTTCTTGCAAAGTATTAGGCGGATCATCGCGCATCGATAAATATGGTTAAGAAAATAATTACCTAGGTAGAAACAAAAATAACGCAGTGAGAACGTCCATTTATCCGTCCAAGCTTTGTCATAACGGTGATAGTGAATTGTATCAATGTCAACGGTGGTTTTCCAAAAAAAAATAAGATTAGTATTATAAAAGTTGCGCAAACGACCGGTCCTTTTAAATTTTAGTCCTGTCAAGATGTTACTGAATTGTACACGTTTCTTGTTCGTTTCTCTCTGTGTTTTATATGAAATAAATTTTTGTGGTGGACAATTTAATTTCGTCACTAATTTTCAAACGAGTAAGTTACAGTTTGTAATTAATAAATATATTACCTATTAATCATAAACAAAGCATATAAGACACTTAAGTCTAATCAGTTTTCTATAATTTTAATTCCAGTATTAAAATTAAAAAATTTCAAATAAAAAGTCAGTTACAAATGCTTGAAATGTCGAAAAAGTAAAATTAAAAAAAAAATAATGCCTAACAAATGCTTCTTTTAATCAGTGGTAATTTTTTTTAAACACATTGAACATATTTAAATTGGATATTACATTTTTAAAACGTTCATTTTTATCCTATTTATGCTTGGGTTGGCTTTAAAGCAAGTAATAACAACAACTTTATCATTATTTACTTTTAGTTTTATTATTAAAGAATGTCTACCTTAGGGTTACATCATACTTTCCATAACGGAAGTATTTTTGATTAATTTCAATAAGCCCGCGAATCTATCTTGGGAGAAATCTGTTCATTTTTGGCAGAATTTGAGGCTAATCGAATAGCTTAAAGTTAAGACGGTCCAAATTTGATTACAACCGGCAGACTTCAAAGTTTTTTTGCGTCCACTATAGGTTTTTTTGCTTAACAAATGTGGAAAAAATTTGGAAAAATCAACTTCTAATAAATGTATGTTGTGTATATATGTGTATGTTATATATATGTGTGTTTTGATAACAAAATTATATTAGTGTTTAAATATCTAAACTCAAATTGAACTGAAAATGAAGCTCAAATTTAAGATATTGTATTTTATTACAAAGTTTATATTATATGTTATAAAAAATAATATAACTATATTATATAAAATTATACAAAATATAATATATCCCATTTAGTGCTCCATATTTTTTTATTGAGTTATTTGGTTGTTAGTTAATCTTAAATTAACATTCAATTAGTTGTGAAATCGAAATTAAGGTTCACGTTGACCGTATTACGTAAACAATAAAAGTTTCATATTTATTTGTAACACAAAAATAAATTGAGCACATAAAACTTAGCTGTGAACAACCTCATACCCCTCATGTTCGCAATATTCTTAAAAAGGTTTCCAGATATAATAAATACGTCACGATATGAACATATTAAACGAAATTTATAAATTGTTTCGACAATTTTGTTGGTCTTTAGATTTAGTTTATAAGTCCTAAAAAAATAATAC